CCCAAACATCTAGCCCGGCTGAAAGAGGTGGGACTTGAGCATAGATCGAATACTATGGGAAATTGTAGGTTATTGTAGGATATTATGGTATATTGTAGAATTTTCTAGAGTATTACGGTATATTGTAGGTTATCGTGGTATGTCATGCGATAGTATCGTATGGTATCTTATGTGATAGTATATTATGTCATTATGTGTCGTTGGTTTAGATTCGCCCTTGGGATTTCTTTTGCTAACCGTTCGAGGCGTGTGGGCATCTGATGGAGCTGAAGCGTCGTCTCGGATCTGGATTCCTGCAGCTGTTGCAGAACCATTACGACCTTTCTCCCAACCTCTCCAGCCCCTAAACACTAAGCCAAGAGTGTATAGGCACCTGACATCCTTCGTATCTTATTTTCGGATCCCCGCACCCTTAACCGCTCAAGCCATGAACCCTAAAACCCCCAAGCCCGCAATTTTTCAAGCCACAAGCCCTAAGCTTAATGCCTCTGGCCCAAGATCCTCAACATGCCTCGAACATCCATGAAGCCCGAAACCCAGGTGATCATCATCGCCTTCTCATGGATCCCGCCAGCCATCGTGGCCTACATCGTGAGGGAGCGAGAGGCCTCTCGGGGCTTTGGTTCTGTAGAGCAGGCAGCAACTATCAAGATGCTCCTGCATGTACCCTGTCTTCTACTTATGTATTCCATATGTATTCCCTAAACGCTCTCATTACTCAGACACCACAATATCGATGCCACTGTTGGACTCGCCAAGGCTTCTGCCCGCTAAGCCCTAAAGCCCCAAAGCCCCAAACCCTAGCCCGAAACCGTAAGCAACAACGGCTACATCCTAAGCGCTTGAACCTAAAGCCCGAAGCCCTAAAGTCCCAATTCACTTGTTTTGCCGAGCACTCGCGGGCCCCTGGGATGAAGACCTAGGGGCCAAGGGTTGGGGGGTTTCGGGTCTTGGCTGTTGTTTATGCAGCTACCCCTTTTTCAAGCAGAATCCAAGATAGCTCCCAGCTCGGGTGGGAGAGGGCCGGGCTTGATGGGCTCCTCGCTTGCCTGCTGACCCCAGCTTTGGCTGCATCTCTCTTCGCGTCGGCTTTCGAAGTTGCCCTTTTGCGATTCTGACTGGTCGCATATGATTGAAGCTTGTTCGCCCGACGTTCGGCGGGGCCCGTACAGCGCATAATGCGCTACACAAGTTAGGAGGGTGTTCTTTGCTTCAAAATGCACTGTTTCTGTGCGACAGACCCCAATCTCTACGATCGATACATGTGCATTACGGTTTATATTAAGTGAACATTCATTCTTCTTACGTCGATCATGAAATTCTACTCTAGTACAGAGCCCAAGCCCTGAAAGCTGACCCTCAACCCACGAAAACCCAGACCCTAAACCCCCGCAGACCTGCTAAATCCTACTTCATGCCCAAGACTGCACTTGCGACTTCCTCATTGTCACGATTGTCACTACCCTCACCCGACTTGGTCTCATCGCCAATGTGCCTAGCGCGACGACGCTCGCTGNNCTGCTGCTGCTGCTGCTTGTGCTACTTCTACTTCTGCTGGCAAGTACGACTGTTGCTGCACTGTCTGCCATTGCTACCATGTGGTAGTTTTTCGATTGATGCTGGGCTTTTCCTTCACAGCCGCAGATGAGAGCTTATCATATGGAGTGGCAGGCCATTTACGTCTATAGATATCGAAATGCTTTCAAGACCCACATCTGAAGAAACGCCTTGAATTCCCGATACCAAAAAAAGCTCTGTTTGCAGTCTCATCACAACTCCAAGCACCAGCAGCTCATTTCGGGAGTCAGCGTCCTTGCGTGCTCTGCCCTTGCACGCAGTATTATCTTCGGACAGTGTTTTGGGGTTGCGGCTGAAGGTTTTAGGGTTTTGGACTTGCGGTTTCGAGGTTTAGGTGTCCATGGTTTGAAAGTTTTGGGTTTTTGTGGTTTTGGGTTTGATATTGGAGGGTGTGGATCTGAGGCTGCAGCACAAGATGTAGCGTTCATGGCTCAGGGTAGATTTCAAGGTTTCGAGCTGAGGGTTCCTCAGCAGCAGAACCAGGGCTCAGCCCTTCATGCTTCACACCGGGCTCCAAGCAGCGCGCTCTAAAGTCGCAGAAACCCTAGACCCTACATTCCTGAGCCAAAGCCCTCGAACCCTAACCGTAGACGCTTGGGCAACGAACCTGTGATTCTTAAACAAGGTCATATCCGTTCGGTGGCCACGGCATTTTAAATCAAGTCCCAAGTCCTTATCTCAGCCCTGAAAGTCTCTACACACCCCCTGATGGGACCTTCAACCACGCTTTTTTTGGAAGACCCCGAAAGCACTTTCAGTCGGAGCCCGAAACCACAGTGCTTTGTGCAAAATCTGCTTCTATGCACCGAAAGCAGAAGAAACATACCACGCAAACCCAATATTCAGAAATGCAAAATTTTCATTACTTTAAACATGTGTTTTGTACGTATATAGACACACATGATAAGATTCTATAATGTAGTTGTTCGAAGGCCTTTTCCATTACGGTGGCCAGAAGCAAAGCGAAGATCTGGAGGTACTGGACGGCGAATCTGCTCTGGGACCTTTGTCTCTACGTTGCCGGGCTAACTTGGGCTTAGGGCTTAGGATTTTGTGTTTCTGGGTGTAGGATTTGATTTATAGCTTTCGGGGGTTGGGATTCAGTGTAGGTTCTGTACATTAGGGGCTCCCTTTCAAGGTTTCAGGGTTACTCATGACAATAAGGATCCTGTCGTATTAGGATCGCCACAGATTTCCAGTCCATAAACATAACTAGAATCTAGAAGTCTACAGCCTTAAGCTCCAAACTTAAATCCTAAACGTAGGTCTTCAGCCCGATAGCTGCCACAAGCCTACACACGGGCTTTGCCGCGCCCGAACTCTTGTTTTCACAAGCCCAGACTTTTGAGTGGTAGCAGCTGATGGCCTGCCCGATGGGAGCTAGACCAGTAAGAGCCGGGAGTCGTCGTCGTCGTCATTATCATCATCTTCGTCTTCGTCATCATCACACGGGGCAGTCAGACTTGAGGCAGGTATCGGGAAAGCATCTTCAGGAATTGCTCACTGGTCCTTCTGCAGTGTTCCACATGAAGGAGATTAGGCAGCAAAGAGAAGCAAAGAGCTTATCAGCCTAGTGACTTGTGGCACTCCCGACTGGAAACCCTCTGGAGACTGGCATCTCAGACCCCTGAGCAAGCTGTCATGCCCCATGTTGACAACTCCGGCATAAATATAAACCCTTTCTCGAGCCTTGTAGGTACTATAGGGGCCTTAATAAT